ATTTACAGTATTATTTTATCAGTTAATATTATATTTTTTAATATACTCTGAGGTATGAGGATCACAGGGAACATACCAAGATTCATACTACAAAATCACTTTAACCTTGAAACATGAAATTCTGTATGCTTGGTAGTACAAAAATAAGAGATTGAGATAAAAATCATACGTAAGTTTTGCAAGACAGCGTTAATTCGAGGTGCAGTGCTGCACGCGCCAAAGTCCGGCGTTCTTGGGCACTTGCAGTTTTAAAACCAGATTCGACGCTGAAAACTGCAGCAAGAGAGTATATTTCCCAACGTCCCCTTCACTTCGGAGGGTTAAGTATAACGTTCGCACGCACGTGTACGGATTCAACGTTGGTTTACAAATTTTAACTCGTTTGCCCAACGGTTCTTCGCAGTGCCATATAATAAAACATTCGAGGAATCAGTAAGCAACTTGTATATTGGTCGTTGATTTCTTCAGTTCCTTTTACTGTCATTGCGAGCCAGTATAACTTGAGAACTGATGAAAGGTGGTTTTTGTCAAAACAATATATTAGTCGAAAGTGCTAACTATAGAGTCATCACCACGTTGTACTTATACCTATCTTTGCTTCAAGAGCAAGAGGGAAAGTTGCGTTATAGCATTTTCAATAATGAATACCATTTCGATGCTTTTTTTTGACTTTACCAAAGTATGAAACGACAAAAAAACGCTAACTAGGAAACAAACCATACTACACCAACAATGAATTCGTTCGCTTTTCTCCTGTTATGAGCGTGCCTAAATACTCATACGAGCACTCATGCACGACTGGCATTTCATATTTCCAACCTTGTAATGGTAAAAAGAAAGTTCCAAGATAACGGCCTTAACACGTGCCTCTCTTCTCCTTCTTTATGAGTTTATGTTTTTTTGTACCTAAGCGAATTTGTTGTACAGTTGGAACAGTATTGTTTGAATTTTACGATTTATAATGTCTTGGTCAAAAATCAAGAAGGTTCTGATGAAGGAATCAACGAATTTGTGCGAAAAAACGGATTAAGCAAAGATTTATTTTTTTAAGCGTGCACAAGACCAAACGACTATGAAGATACTCGTACGTACTGACAAAATGATGATGATGATGATGATAATTCGTTCTCTCTAGAACTGCATATATTTTTCTGCGCGATTATAGAACTATTGCTATACATAACAACTATTGAGTTCATGTGCACTTATGTACGTAGTGTACCATGCAGGCCACGCAAATATATACGTAACGACCAGGATCGTGTTCAACTATACGTCATTGCTCAACGCCTGCGTGAGTTCAAGCACGCGTAGTATCAGCCAAGGCAAAAAGAAAGCTGAGAGTAGTGGACCCTTGCGTAACGCTCTATGAGCTTGTGCGCGCGTTTGTGCGTTCGTACGTGGCTGTGTGGGTAAGCGGGTGCGAGGAAGGGGGTACCCCAGGTACCCTCTGGCCTGGGTGGCAGTGTGGCATTAACACGTTCTCTCTCTGAGAGCGTGTGTGTGTGTGTTTATACTCGATGCCTTAAATAATTTGAGCAATTTGTTTCCATAACCGATCAGGCCCACTGGACGAGGTTGTAGCTGTCAGAAAAAATTGTGACGTTCATACCTCAAAACATTGTCGAGCAAGATTCTACTGTAGAAATTTAGTGAAAAGTAGACAAGAGTTACTAAGATGGGAAAAAAAGGAGAAGCTTACATTTTCGGGTTTTCATTGAGGTTTTTGATCTGTTGTGATGATCCATAGAACATTTGGCGATATTTATGGAAGTTACAACGATAGTTATAGATTTTGAGATTTCAACCACAAATTTGATCGAGTACGAGGTTGAGAGTGGAGCTTATCAGCTTTACCTAAATATGATTAATGGGATTTTTTCGGGTTGAGAAAGAAAAATCTCCCGAAACAATGCCATAGTAGTGGTTACAACGAGCTTCAATAACGTTGGTGTGTACTCGAAATGCAACAAAATTTTTTATGGTATACGAATAGCCAGTGTCATGAGCTGTACATACAATGTAATACCGATGCCAAATTACTTCAAAAAAACTCTTTCTTAAAATCACTCTTGTCACTATAATAAAAAATTTGAACTTTTGATTTTCATTTTAATATCTGTAACTTTGGTTTTGCGGCTTTAATATACATATAAACCGATTTAAAATGAGTTAAAAAAAAAATGATTTCCCTTGCATAACTTGAATGAGTCTATGGCTTCTTGTCTTGTTTTCTGCAGGACGAAAGTGTCAGATCCTTTGCCAGATAAAAATGGCCACCCTCTTTTTTACTTTGGGAAGTTGAAAAGTAAAATTTTTTTCCTTCATTAAATTATGAAAAAAAATTAGTAGTTCGCCTTTTTAAATACTTTATTTTCAGTCAAAATGTATTTTTGTTCAACCACTTGTACATAAATAGTGTTTCGAGAAGCATTATTAACGCTTTAGTTAAATTTTCCATAAAGAACTTAAATGGGTTAAACCGTTGTTAAGTTTCTAATAAACATTTTTCTTTACCATATGTTGATTTCATAAGGAACATGTTAAAATTAAATTTTAAATGCTTTCAATAACAAATACATTTAAAAAAACTGCCCTTGGTAAAAAAAAATTATTTTTTATTTGTACCAATAAATTTATGTCATAAAAAGCATATTACCTCCAATTCGCCTGCAAAATCAGTTAGTAAAACTATTTCATTGTTAATATAACTCATAAAAGAAATATTGAAAGTACTTATTTAAGTATATGAATAGAAAAGATCCGTATTTGGCAATATCAAACGAAAAAGTAGATCACGTGTAACATTTTCATTACGAAAGAGTGGATATCTGTTTCATGGATGGCCTTTTCCAACTCGAGCTAAGCCCATCCCGTGTCAAGAGCAGTGATTGGGAGAGGACATGTGGAAATACTAACAGGGCAAAAATAACTGTTACTTGAAAGCGTAGTGAAAGTTCAAATATGCATTTACAATAAATTATAGTCGTGTTAAGAGCTTACTGAGTGAAGCATTCAGCTCAGCTCTTGTGCACGGACTGAAAATTAGTGCTACGTAGAGCACTATTACATAGAAAACCTTTTATGAAAAATCACAAGAACAGTTACATTATTAGTTAAAAAAGGTACGAGTAGAAACACAATAAATCTGAATCTTTACTGATAGCAGTGAGCATCATACGTAGGAAGATATAAAAGTATAAATCTATTAGCCTCTAGGGTTTGATAGCAAGAGATAAAATTAATCACAATACATCAATCATTAACTGTTTGTAAACTTGCGCAACAAATTTAACGACACATTTTAAATGTAGAAAAGGTCCGTTTGCAATGGATCACAATACATTTTAACTGAACAATAGCCAAATTAATCTTTTACATGAATAACGAAATTTGTAAAAAAAATTTAACAACTGGCTAAATTTATGCAAAAATAGTAAATTTTTGCATCAAAAGCACAACTACTATGTTTCTTACCTGAGCAAAAAGTGTAACTTCATTCGTATAAGTTTTAACGAATATTTTTGATTAATAAGTATTAGTACTACTTATCACATGGTTTTGGCTATATGGCTATATTTGTGACTTATCGTTATTCATACCATAATAATCAAATTTTTGATACAAAGTGTGAATTATAAAATGAAAAACAATATGATCGACAATTTTTGTAAACCATACGTAAATCCAAACCCTAAGTTGTATTTGATATAATGAAATATTTTTTATAAGTTTCAGAGTATCAAACAAGTCTTAAGAAAATACAAAACATATGGAAAGTTTGTATTTTTTTACGATCTACAACTGTGGTATTCATAACTTTGAGCACTATAATCAACGAAAACTGATTTTTCAAATTATTTTTAAATTATTATTGCCTTCTAGTACACCAGAATTATAATTTAAATGAAAGTAAACAAAAAAAAAAAATTGTTCTTTAATGAGATCTAAATTTTTTTACAAAAATACACACACCTGTAAAAAAATGATTTATTTTATACGGTTTAATGGTTTCTTCGACTTTTTCAGTATGAAGACGGTGTTGAAAAAATAAATAAAAATATTTGAAAAATCTATTTTTTCTGACCCACACTTTTGTCCTTAAAACCAAATATCTAAGTTATAGAATTTTTTAGATATTCCAAAAAACTACTTTTTCCAACCTGTAAAATATCACCTCCGACTATAGAGGCATAAAAAAATTTTTTTTTAATCTGAATAAGTAGTCAAAAGTTTCATTTGTTTCATAAATCTACATTTTTTCTCAACTTTGTATTGACCTAAGAAATCCACTTAAAAAAGTAACATGCAAAAAACTGATTTTCATTTGTCAGTGTTGTATAATCTTGGGACTAGTAACACTTGTTTATTCGACAAAATTATCTGAATTTGAAACTGTCGGGTTGTGGTATGAAAATGAAATCTCAAATATTGAGTGCAGTCACATGCATGTAAAGTTTTTGAGATGTTCGATTTGTATGAAATTATAAGTGGTGGTTCTACTTTTTTCTTGGGAAAAATATGCATAAGGCACTTTAGTGAAACAGTCGTGTCTAAAAATGACTCGAAAAATGACAATATTATTATTTGAAATAAAATTTATAAATAATGGTGGTAAATCATGTTTTGAAAAATATTTGTGCCCGTATATCGGCAACTCTTTTACATTACAAGCGATAGCTAATATCTTACGTAACAAAATTTTCCACAATGAAATTTATGATATGATTATTGCGAGTACTGGAATTCTGTGACAAGTCTAGGCTTACAATTTCGAGTAACAATCAAGACCCTATAAAAATTGAAATAATTTTTAATAATCATAAAACGTTGAAACAATTTTTTCATAGCTATTCTAAAATATTATCTGAATTAGAATATTAACCTAGATACAAAGAACATTTGTAAATACTCAGATTATGAATACACGAAAATACATAGGTATCCAAAATAACTCACACTAAGCAGATTTTGTAAAAAACCTGATGTTTTTGTTCCAGTGACGGTGCCTTGAAGGATACAGCCGATCCAGAGAATTTGAGCAACTTGGTCAGTAACGGCAGCACGATGCAATCAACCACGGAAGCATCAGCAGACACGCCGTCGGTGTTGACGCCCACGGCTTTGTCCACTCCAGGCATTAATAATCAGGCCTGGAATCGACAGCAAGCCGTCAGCGTCAGGCACGCGTTCAAGTCCTATGGAAGTAGCAAAAATCCAAATCATGTTTTATCTAACCTAAACATGACCGTGGCTAAAGGATCTATGTGAGTATGGATTATACTACCGATTTTTGTTTGGTTCCTTGTTGTGTTTGCAAAGTTTTTTTTCCAAAAATACAACTCGTAGCTTAAGAAACTTTGTTTTAATATTTTGTTGTTTTCCTCATATTTTTAGACAGTTTTGAAAAACTGATTTTTTGCTAATATTTATCAAAGTCAATTTACGAAAACTAGAATCAATACGAGCTAACATTTTTTGGGCCCGGGGACTTCATCTTGGAAACGTAATGTGCATCTTTTTTGACTGTTTTTCATTAACTGCGCATGCCAAAAAAGATGCATCTTTCATTCTTAAGATTAAGTACCTGCTGGGAGTGCACAAAAAAATTTATTACGACTTTCTTATTTTATGTAGAACAAAAGAGCGTCACGGGCTTTTAGAAAATCTCCTTATAACTATAGGATACAGGCGCTCTCCATTACAATTTGAGCTTATTATCACATTTATATCATGTACTTACTATTAACATTCGTACAAGTCACCATGTGAGTCGGTTATCAATCAAAAATTACACAAAGATACAATGGATTTTGTATATTGTTACCGGATAACGTTCCGGGCTCTTGGCAAAAAAAGAGCTTCACTGGTTTTTATAAATTAGTTGAAAAATTGAGATTGTAAAGCACCAAATGCAAATTAAACTTTGTTGCTATGCTTATGTTATATACAAAACAGCTATATTTTAATCCATCACCTTCTAAGTGGATAATACAACCACTCGCAAAAAACGTGACATTCTTTAGCGTTGTGGACTCGTAGTTTTTGTTTTGGGGAGATCGAGTTTACAAACTCTCGAGCCTCTAGCTCTGGCTTATTGGAATGGAAAAATTGGAAAAAATTTCTGCAACTTCCTTCACTTCATTATAATACAAAATGTCCAAATTGAAACGCCAAAGATGAGTTGCGGGCATTTGTGAGAACGTTTTCTGTTAAAATGTTAAATTTGTCAGATTTTGCTCCAACAATTTAAATACCATCCAACTTTGAGATTCCATGCCGTAAAAAAATTTAAAAATTCGCATTTTGATTCTAGGCATCGTCAAAACTGCAAATTTTCAAACGAGACATGAGCCTATATCGTTAATTTAGTCCTTTATTTATATTTTAAACAAAATGAATCCTTTTTTATAATTTAAATTCTGTTGTGCCTTCAGTAGTAAGCATCCCTAGAATATTAAAAAAAGTTTCCAGATCAATGCATATATATATTTACACGACATTATTATAAACTAGACCACGGAAAAGACTGTTTTTTTTGGCAGAATGACCCATTAATTTCATTTTATAGCGTAGCGAAACTAGTGTCTAAAATTGTAGACCATAACTTGAAAAAAAATAAAAAAATAAATAAACTTAGCAGGGAAGGGGACCCTGGTAAAAACGACGGTCTAGCACGTGTAGTCAAAGATAAAAAAATTTAGAAATGATTAAGGAGGTTCAACCCCTCGCTATAGTCCATGCGACGCTCTCTATAGTTTAGTATGTCGTCTGTCTTTCTTTCTCTCCTGTAACAACACAACCTTTTGTAGTTTTTACCTTCGTTATTAATCAATTTCTTCTCTCACTAGTACCCTCGAGATATTCAACAAAATTAAATAGGATCATTAGATATTTTTTTATCATTGATAACATTTTCATCTAAAGTTCATTATTAATAAAAGAGATACATACAATAGATGCGCTGAAAAAGACGACAGCCCATAAGCCTACATGTAAAAATTAGCTAAATATGAATATTAATTACTCGGCTCCTAGGAACTCTCGTGCCTTCAAATTTTGACAGTGTCATTGTTATGACTTTATTCATTTGTAAACAAATTTTCATTTAATTTTCATTGTTAATTATCTTACTGATAGAACTTTCTTGAATAATACAATGTAAAACCACACAAAAAAATGATGTAATACATTATTATACCACCCATACTAGTCAATAAAACTTTACAGTAAAATATTACCATTTATAGGATAAGTAAAAGATTATTACACAAAATCAACTAAAAATGGATCGGAGGTGTACAATACATTCTAATATAAATGAAATGGTATATTAATTTTTAATATGTGATAAACCTTTTGCAAATATTTTTGAAATTTATACAAGTTAAATATATTTGAAATTATCAAGAAAAATTTTTATCATCGTAATCTCTGCATTCTGTTTTTATTCCTGAATCTGCTTAAGCACTTTTTTTTGGAGTGTATGTCACCAAAAAATTATCTTAAAATTTTTACACATTAATATCCAAGACGTTTTGGGATTGTTTACGTCGTTTTTATGAGCATATAGCAGAAATAAACAAAAATTTTAGTGTTATGTTTGTATGTTGACTTATTCCTCCCTGTTTGTTTACCTTAATGTTTGCAGTGCCTTTTTGAAGCTTGCAAAAAATTTTATTTTTGTTATCTTTAAAAAAACTTAAATTTGATGAAATTTACTGTTGTATGAAAAGGTAAAGTAAAAAATTAGATCAAACCTTGTTAGTCCGACATCTTATTTTTCACTTTTTACCTTGTATTCTCAGTCAATCTTGTCAAGTGTAGGCTCCTTTCTTGATGGCACCTCTTCAAGTGTATCTACTTCTTACAGACAAAGACATGTCAAAAATAGAAGCATCCAAAATTCTTTATTCCTTCAAAAGTAACAATAATAGTGATAATAATACGCATAAACTTAAAAGGCAAAACTCTCCTGTAGATATATTAGATGAAGAGAAAACATCAAAATATCCTAAATCTACTACCCCTGATTTTCCATCTGATTTTCAATAACCCTAAAAAAAACTGCACAATTTTCTCCTATCTAACCTTTGACCTAAACCTTAATCCCAACAATTTAAATACATGCAGTATGTTTTTTCTCTGCTCACTCAACCCCCTATCACTGAGTACCCTCCTGCAAATCTCGCCCTACTTTAAATTATAAAAAAATCTTAGCCCCCTCCCTTCTCAGATATCTGACTGCTCTATTGAAAAAAGGAAAAATTAATACCATGTAGACATAACTATAACTATTTTTTAGTGGTCGCGGTGGCGCAACGGTAGAGTTGCAGTTCCGTCGATCTCCGAGGTTAAGCTGCATTTGGCGCGGTTAGTACTTGGATGGGTGATCGTCTGGTCACCATTCAGGTCTCGCCCTTTCTCCTGTGCTCTTGATTCTCGAAGGTCAATTAACTGTTTCTCTGACGCTTCGTCTACGTGATCATAGGTGTGAGTTAGTTGGTCCAGATGTTTATATACGTATATAAACATCTGGTCATAATTCAGGCGCACCGATGGCTAATTAACACTATGTTGGTATAAAAGAATGCCATGTCTGAGCCTACGGGTGATGTTGGATAAAAAAAAAACTGTAACTATTGTTCCCCTTCACTTAGGCAATCCATTCGCGAAATTTGAACAATCAGGTCTAATCAACATTTGTATCATTACTTACTACCGAGACATCGCTAATAGCTTGTTGAAAATGAATAAGAAGTCTAAGTGATTGACATGTAGTTTTCACAATTCTAAAAGATTTCATATTCAATTTTTATTTGTAGAGATTTGTCATTCACTTTTAGAGTTATAGTCGTGTTAGTGATAAATCCCATAGTGCATGTTGACTTGTTGAGTTTTCAGTAGCGATTTTAAAAGAAATAAAGTGGTTGGCTCTAGGTGTACTTAACTATCGTATAAATGTATACAGAAGTGTAACATGTCACAAACATAACACAATCTATTGGTGTATTTGTATAATTTATGTATTTCTTCTCTTCCATAAACATGTTAAATGCTTGCAATTACAATTAAAAACACGTTTATCAATTCGACCTGATTTACCAGATATGGGCTCCTAGGCGCCAGTGGTTGCGGCAAGACAACGCTTCTCTCATGCATCGTTGGCAGACGACGACTCAATTCCGGCGAAATATGGGTTTTGGGTGGCAAACCTGGCTCAAAAGGTTCTGGAGTACCTGGAAAACGAGTTGGCTATATGCCCCAGGAGATTGCGCTGTACGGTGAATTTACGATTCGCGAGACCATGATGTACTTCGGTTGGATCTTTGGCATGTGCACATCTGAGATTGTCGAGCGACTGAGGTTCCTGTTGCAGTTCCTTGATTTGCCATCTCAAAATCGTCTTGTCAAAAATCTTAGGTGAGTTTGTTATTAGTACATTGTAAAAATACCTAATTTTGGTTATTATATACTCCTTCTAGGATTCTCAAGTTAGGTACTTACTTCTGAAGTACTTCTTTGCAACATGAGTTCCAATGATGTTACTTAGCAAATTTTTTTTCCAGTGCTTCGAAAAACAAAAAAATTAATCACGAACATGATTAATTATAACAAGTATTTAGATAAAAGTATAGAAGAGTACTTGCATGTACATTAAGGTGTCCTTCATTTTTTGAATTTAATGAGTTCAGTTTTAATGTCCTCGAATGTTGATAATCCAAAACTAAAATATCAGCCGTGAAAAATATAACAGTTTTTAATTCAATGGACAGCTTTGAACTACTTACGTATATTCCGTATATACGCGAGGTAGGAAAAAGCAGGCTTCTTACCATAGGCTCAAAGTGCAATTGCCGCTTTGCGCCCTCCAGCCACACTTTGCACTTTTGTAATCACTTTGGGCCAGCGAGCAGAAAAGTTATTTACTGGGCGCAAAGTGTGCCCACGGGTAAAAAATTGCACTTTGCGTCCTTGGTAAGAAAAACAATATACGTGACTCAAGCACAAACGTATAACAACCACACCTGTCAGGGACTCATATTTGTACTTTGTGCCCTGGTTACGTAATGTATTATTTTCTTACCTCGGGCGTTTTTGAGAGGCTGGTGTGCCCTTGGTAGGAAAAATAGCATTCGCCACATAAGCTCCATCCCTCCGGGGCAACCTTACGAACCCTCGGGCCGCAAAATAGCCCCAAAGGCGATGGCGCTTATCCGACGAAAACTACCATTTTAACCAAAAATTATTTTGATATTAAATACCTTCCAATACAAAATTTTTTTTGTATCCATCTAATATTCAGTTTGTCACCTAAAATACAGTAAGTTAGTCAATCTCCTCATCATGCGACTTTATAGTTATGCATAATTTAAAAATTGAAAGTCATTTAGTATTTTTTTGTGAAATTAAATTATTACCAAAAGCTATTCCATTCTTTTTTAATTATGTATTGAACTTTGTACACTAAAAAACATTTTTGGCTTACAGTAACAGCAACTAAACGAGAAGCAAAAAGAAAAAGTAAAAGAATTTAACAGTAAAAAAATTTTTTCAGTGGTGGGCAGCAGCGACGAGTCTCCTTTGCAGTAGCTCTAATGCATGATCCAGAGCTGCTCATTCTAGACGAGCCCACAGTTGGAGTCGATCCACTTCTCCGACAGAGGTATAACTAATTTTAATCTACGAAATTTTTGTTTCATCTACATATCGATTCTTTTAGTTTTTATCTGGTAGCTTTTTTGTTAATACTTATTGTAGCATGATGGTAATTTTTACAAAAAAAAAACTGTATAAGCTATTTGAGAACACATATGTTTATACGTTAAAAACTAATGCAATAATATAATTGCGTAAGGAAGCTCACATCTTGATATATATAGTCAATTCACTGTCTTGTCTATGAAATCGTATACTTAACTTGCCATTGCACTCAAAATTACTTATCAATTACTTTTAATAAACCTTAAAATACTCATGAAAATTTTTTATTTCTCAAAAATTTGTTTTAAAGTCAGAAATTAAACTATTAAAAACCAGTGGACAGAGGGTGTTTAGGTACTCAAGTATAAAGTTATACTTCTATAAAATTATATAGTAAACAAATTAATTTTGAGTATAAAAATACCTTCTAAGAAACAATATTGTGTACGAAGGTGGTGCAATTATCGTGGGAATGAGGATACCTACGTTGATTGAGAGTGATTTTAATTAATATTTAATGAGTTAACGATTATAAACAATGTATTACGGCACAATACAATAAAAATAATATATAGGCTGGCCAGTCCAAGACTGTGCACTGTCATCGAATCTTCCGGTGATTTTAGAACAACATTCTACTGCCTACGCTGATAAAATCTGTAATGTCACGATCACATCTATCACATACGATCCCACACTTACTCCTCGTCCATATTTAATACCCAAAATATAATTGTATTCAGAAAATTAAGAAAAACCATTATGTAGTATAGTTTTCTTCAATAGGGTAGTATTACATACCAGTGAATGTCTCGTCAGGACGTTCATCACACATAGGGTTTTTTTGACAGACATTATTCAAACGTCAAACGTATATTAAAATAGCATAAAAAATACCTACAAAAATTGCAGTCATCAAATATAAAGAAGATTCTTTATAAATACTTTTAGAATTTTTTTCTATCATTAAGTATAACTCAACACTTATTTTTAAGCAAGATTATATATATGACTAGCAAAGTACCGGATTTATACCTCAAATTTTTAACCTCTAACGGGTAAGCTTTTTAGATTGGTTTTTAATAATGATACTGGTCATTGATACTTTGAAATAACAGTAGTCTTGATACTCGTAATTTTCAATACTCTATAACTAAGATTAATTTCCTACTCCAAACGGGAATTCGGAATTAAGCAAAGTACTCGAGTATTTTTATCCTAAATCAAACAGCTCTGGCACATATAAATAGGTGTATTATTCCGTTTAGTTTTAATTCGCTTATAAGTTCTAGACAATGTAAGTAGTCGCCAGCAAATAACTAAACCTAACAAGGGCAGTCCGGAGCAAGTTATAGTATCTACCTTATCGATAAGGTCAATTTAATTTTTCAGCCGCATGATATTGTTTATTAAATAACTAACTATTTCATGAGAAAAAAAAAGTTGACAGACATTCTTGACATTTTCTGGAATAATTCAAGCCCAGACTTGAATAGATTCATCGGCAGTTGGATGAGAAAAACGTAAAATAAGATGTCAAACAAACGACGCATGTTGTGATTTTTTATTTTTCTCTAATGTAAGAAGAATGCGCGTCAACCTTTCTGTACGCGTGAAAATGTTTGGAACAAATGAATTACAGAAAGTGGAACTAATCAGCTTAAGATCGGTACGCTAGGACATTGATACGTCTCATGCAAACTAATCGGAAATATCCGCAGTAAATGGTACTAGTTTTAAAGTAAAATTTTTAAAGTCAATTTATTAATAACAGAAAAGTTATCACACATTTTTTATTCCCTAAAAAATATATAAAACCTGGTTGTAGTAAGATTAAGTGCGATTTAGAAACGAAAGACAAAGAATCAGATGATGAGACATTCGTTTGACATGTTTTTACGTCTTTCTCACACCAATTTTTACCGAATGTAGTCGAGTCTGGGCTTAAATTATTCTTAGAAATGTAAAGAATATGGGTCAACTCCTCTTCTTCGTACAAAAATGCTAGTTATTTAATACATAACGTTATACGGCTGAAGAATCATATCGATAAAATATGAAACTTTAATTTTCTCTGGACTGCCATTAAAGTTGCAACATTCTGAACGAATTAAGTGGATAAACTCTCAGATCTCCCTTGTTGAATTCTTTTTGCTCAATGTATTATCATATTATCAATATATTAACCAATGCATTATCATTAGAGTTTGCTAGCTTATTTTGGAATGACAAGAAGTACAAAAAAACTTCATACATAATCCATTTGGTATTTAGATAATGAGCTTTTTTAAAGCTTACAGATGATAGATAGGGGCCTCAAACAATAATGTGTTTTTATTATTTTCTTATTATTTGTGAGAAACTAAATCTTTGATAGCTATTTTTCAATTGCGTTAATACGCGAAAACAGACAGTAAAAACTTTTTTTCAACATTTTGTGATGTAATTTTTTTGTCGTACTACGCAAACATTACCTAAAAGATAACTGTTACTGTTTAGAACTGTAAAAACTAATATAGCCCGGTAGCTGAAGCAATCAATAAGGAACAAATCGGAGATAGCGTCCAAACTTTGCAGATCGCTTCGTATTATGATCTGTAAACATGGAAAAATAGTTTTGTCCAATCAAACCATGGGCTTCAATTGTTATTAAAGAATTAGTAAAAATTTACCATTTTTTTTCTTAGTTTTTCTCATATAACTTTTTTTGTGGCTGTCGGATTGCAAAAATAGCTAAAGATATTTTGTTCGTTATTTAATTATCTACCGATCTGTGTAGGTGAGATCATTGGAAGACTTTTTTTCGCGAAGTTATATTGCAAAAAAGTGCAAAAATCGTCGTTATAAATTGTCATTTTGAAGCATCCATAACTTTTATAATGTTTGATGAAAATGCTTCAAAATTTGGTGATATGTGAGCAGTAGAAATTCTAGATCATGAAATTTCATCAATTTACAGTGCTATAACACTAATTTCTATTTGAATTCTAGTGGTGACGCTACGTTAGACAACTTATACAATGTCTTCAGCAGATAAAGTCTGAGGATACTTACACTTACAGTACTTTGCGTAAGCTTAAAGTAATTGTTATACACAAAAACACATGCATACATACATATTTTTCTTTTTTTTGATATTGTCATTAAAACAAATTTTTTGAATTGTTGTTTAAGCTAAACATACGAGATCAATGTTGAAAAATGCCAGTCTCTTTTATTATCTCTGTGTATGAATGTATGTATGTGTAATCAGTCACATCTCAGAAACTAACAAAAGTTGTTACGATTTCTTAGTTAAAAAAAAAATATTGTGTACATTTGGGTAAAAAATATTCTATGCTCATTATTGTAATGCGTGATAAATTTTTTTTATTCACAAACACTAATATTTTTTTGTAAAAATGAATCATATCTTAAGATTTTATAAATTTATTTGGAAAATGAATTGTTTCAAAATTTTTCTTTAAATTTTTACAATAGTAATGCAATGAAAAAATTTAGTGTCATACGCGCCAAACTGAACTAGTTTTTACAATTTTTCAATTTTAAATACTCAGTTTTTTATATTTTACTTATAATTTTACTGATAGAGCATGAAAATAACTTGATTGTCTACTTTATATCATTTTAACCCGACTATATATATTATATAGGCAAAACAATACTTTTTTTGTGTTAGTCATGTATGATAATTTTATTATGTATGAGATTATAATTATTCAAGGCTAAAAATGTTTATTTTTCTACGATTATAGCTGCTCGTAGATGTTTATATTAAAAGTATTTTTTGATATTATATGCTTAGATATTTAGAAGTGTTTTACCATGATTTAATATGAGCGCTTTTTCTTATTGTCTTAAGTGTTTTTTTCAAGCTGCTCTGAGCAGTTTGAGTTTTGTCACTCACCCTTGGTATTTGCTCATGGCCAACTTAAGAGTTAGACCATTTTATTCTGAACCTTGCGTTTAGAAAAAAAGTTGAAAATTTTTTAAAATGACGCGTTACGATCACTCATCTTATAATGATGACATTATAGAGGGCTAATTTTGTCGAGATTTGGTATAGAATGATAATTCAGCAATAGAAATGCTCCATAACCTTTAAACATTATATGGATATGTATATTAAGTTTTCGGAAGAAAATTCAAAGCTACAATTAGATGTATATGTAAGAGCACAGTGTCATGCATTGTGTGCTGCTCGAACTTACGTGTAATTCTACTACGCCACTCAATTTATCATGAATGAAGTGGTTCAACTTATATAATTTGACCACTAGATGGCTGCTGAGTTTGATACAAGATGGCACCTTTGAAAATTTTATCTGTTGACTTATATACTCTTATATATGTATAAGTATGTTTGCTTATGTACACAAAATCACGCCATCTTAATTAAAGCACATTAGCACCTTATACGGTTGAAGTTTGTGAGTAAAGCTATTTCACAAATTGTTAATGTATTCTACAAGAATTATTTTCATAAAAGAGCCAAAATGAGATAAAATATAAATTAAAGAAACATCATTGTGAAAAAGTTTTTTCTCTACCAAGGTCTTCTTTTGCATCGGATGAATGAGAAGAAATTTATTGTTGAGAGAGGCCTGCTCACACGTCCTTTGCCAATGATGACACAACGTGCAATGTATTCTTAACGCGTACCAATTTCGTGATACCTCTCGTGCTCATATTATATTCCTGACTCCTCTTTTTTTTATCATCTTGCTCTGCATAAGTTTTTGCTACCTTGCCATACTCTTGACAGTTTTTTTTTTTTTTTTTTTCTTTTTGTCATGCAACTTTGATAGTCGTTATTCAAATAGTATAATTTAAAATGGAAAACCAAGCTGGGGTTTCAACCTTTCATTCCTACATTGGCGCAAAAGACCCGCAGTAAAAGGCAGTAGACGGTCCAGTATTATAATTCGGAACACTGATACTTTATTCAGTAGATTAATTTTTTGTGTTAACAAAAAATTGATTTGTAAAATATTTCATTCTTTAAAAAAATGTTTAATCAAAATTTGTTAAAGTCACTATTTTTTAATAAGCTAATATTTTAGTAAGGTAAATGTCCGTACTCGTGGATTATGTCCTTATTCATGGAATATGAAAATTCATGTACTTGTTATACAACTTACTTGATAAAAAAAATTGTTGAAGTTGTATATTTTATGTATCTTCATAAATTTACAAGAAAAATTTCATTTTACATACAATAAATGACCAATTTTAAAGATAATTCCATAAATAGGGATAAAGTCGTATATAACCTATCTTTTGAACTGTACGTATTATGGCACAAAACTTGAACAAGGAATTTATGTAACTTCTAGTAAATCAATAAACGATAAAATTATTTTTATTAAATAAAATAGTATTATGCAAGTGAAAAGGCTTTAATTGTCTTAAAATATTGTACTAAATTTATTTTTTTTAAAAAGATTTATAAATAGGGACATAATATGAAACAATAGGTACAACGTTTCATAATTATGTACATTTTGGTCTAATAATCTTTATAAAATAAAGTATTTTAACAAGTAAGAACAATATTTAAAAATTAGAATAATAATGGTTAATTTATAGCGCACCAGCTAATACCAAAATTTCTACTGTTAAAGCTCACAGTTAACAAAAAAAAATCAAAGGAGCAAGTATGATGAAATTTATGGTCATAATAAGGACATTTACCTTAGCAGAGTAACAAAAAGAATGACAATTTAGAAACTAGAAGATCCATTCTAAGAAACTCACATCAGACTGATGAAACAAAAAAGATACATGTACGCATACGAGGCTTTCCAATAAATAAAAGTGACTCTTGTAGTGGTGTTGATGTGAGAAAGACTCAGGTATCAAAGTAGAAAAAAATAAATGGCTGTGTACGATCAGACATATACTGAGAAGTTTTAGTATAAAAACTAAGTTGTAAAATGACAGTTGCATTCATTAATGAATTAATAGTAGCACGTCTTTGTCTTGTATACTAACAATACTTTGTTGATCATCCCGAACATTATACTTCTCTAAAGATGGAAAATTTTAATATTGGCAATATTTCTAATGTGGCTCATTTAATTTAAAATAGAATAACGACGATATACTTAGAGGAGATTTAGCGTCCGATAAACATTTGTATTAGTTGAAGTATAAAATAATCGATTATTCTTGTTTTATTTAGACTTGTTTTGAAAGTAACGACGAATTTTTACTATCACCATATTTTTACAGTATCTGGAACCATTTGGTGCAAATTACCAAAGACGGCAATAAAACAGTCATTATCACAACTCATTACATTGAAGAAGCTCGACAGGCCCACACAGTAAGGATCAAACATTTTGGCTTGCAATGATAAAATAAAAATATCGCTAAGTCTGAGTTGTTTCAATACTTTAACGTACATATAATTATTTTTTTCCAACCAGATTGGCCTAATGCGAAGTGGACGACTGTTAGCTGAAGAATCTCCACGAGCCCTCCTGCAGATGTACAATTGCCCATCACTGGAGGAAGTTTTCTTGAAGCTTTCCAGAAAACAGGGTTCCTACCCACCCACTAACACAGAGCTCAACTTTTCTAATAACATGAATTTCGTAAGTGTGTTTGGCCCTAAAACATGAAAGTAAAAAATGGCCCTAAAAATGATTTTCCCGCTGGTTGTTAAATCGAATTATGAGTACTGCGTATAACGTATCAACGACAGTCATTTTTGCTGTCGTTTTGAAGGACATAATGTACCTTTTGAATGTATTCTGGACATTTTTTCAAAAAGTACTTGCTTTAAGATAGTACAGAATAGTTTTCCAATAAAAGGCATCGCTTTATTTAACAGATTCTGTTATACACTAAAAATATTTTGTTCATTTCAACAGGCTTCATCTTACATTAGTAAGAAAGACGAGCCAGTATATGCGACCGAGGAGTCAGCAGTGATTGGTCTCACTTTTCATCAGAGCAAAGAAGTTCTCATTCACGATACAACCAATGGAGTCGGCAGCCACTATGACGTAAGCTATGTATCATATACATACTTCAAATGACCTTTTTTGTACGTGACATAATTTTTTAATTCGAATCAGAGACCCGTGAGTTTATCTTACACAATAAAAAATGTTGCATTTTCCTAGACGCTTTTTTTCACGTGTACTTGTGTGGATCTTTTTTTCTCTTTGAGAGAAGACAAAGAAATATTCTAGTCCGATCTTACCACGGAATATTAGCATGTCTTAACACTTAGAATTTATAAGCACTCTTCTATATAATTATTAGGTCTTTAATCATCACCCAAAAAAGGGAGGAAAACTGTTAATCTTAATTATTTATTACAACCACATTGCAACGTAAATCATTTTATTTTTGATGAAACTTTTTAAATAAGAAATAAATAACTTAATTTCTTTGAATAGCTGAATGGCAAGCCATTACCAGGCCACAAGGAATCCACGATTGAGTGCGAGGACTGCGATTTTACAGATTGTTACAAGGTAACCAGTACCGGAAAAATCCGAGCTCTTCTGCAAAAGAACTTTCTCAGGATGTGGAGAAATGTTGGGTACGTAAATAAAACTCTTTCCCAGCAAATTTTCAATACATTTTGAATCGTTTTTGACACCTTCAAATACTCTGAGCTAAAACCCAAAGCATTATTTTTTGGTTTTTCAGTTAACAGTTTTAAAACTTTTCTAAAAATTGTAATAAAAATATATCTAAAGTTATCACGTACAAAATAAAAGTTTTTATATTAAATTATCAATTTTGTTTGTAATTGTAACGGAAAAAGACATGCGAAAGTCTACTTATTCCAATCCTATGTTTGATTTAGTAAATTGTTTATTAAAACTTATCTTAATGTTTCAAGAAAATTTGTTCATAATACGAGAAACAATTGTTACTACACATTGTTTAAGATAGCTCACAGGGGCGACTTAAGGGTGGGGCGAACTGGGCACTTGCCCAGAGCGCCAGATAGGCAGGGGCGCCAAGTAAAGGACAACGCAAAACACTGTAGTATTGTAAAAACCATTTTTTCTAGTTAAAAATAAAAAATGTGAGTATAAAACTTAAACTATCATGATGAACTAATTCACCATTTACATTCTTAAATTTAGTTAACCATTTTTTCTTTTTGTCATGCAACTTTGATAGTCGTTATTCAAATAGTATAATTTAAAATGGAAAACCAAGCTGGGGTTTCAACCTTCGAATTACAAGTCAATATGCTTTCATTCCTACATTGGCGCAAAAGACCCGCAGTAAAAGGCAGTAGACGGTCCAGTATTATAATTCGGAACACTGATACTTTATTCAGTAGATTAATTTTTTGTGTTAACAAAAAATTGATTTGTAAAATATTTCATTCTTTAAAAAAATGTTTAATCAAAATTTGTTAAAGTCACTATTTTTTAATAAGCTAATATTTTAGTAAGGTAAATGTCCGTACTCGTGGATTATGTCCTTATTCATGGAATATGAAAATTCATGTACTTGTTATACAACTTACTTGATAAAAAAAATTGTTGAAGTTGTATATTTTATGTATCTTCATAAATTTACAAGAAAAATTTCATTTTACATACAATAAATGACCAATTTTAAAGATAATTCCATAAATAGGGATAAAGTCGTATATAACCTATCTTTTGAACTGTACGTATTATGGCACAAAACTTGAACAAGGAATTTATGTAACTTCTAGTAAATCAATAAACGATAAAATTATTTTTATTAAATAAAATAGTATTATGCAAGTGAAAAAACTTTGATTGTCTTAAAATATTATACTGAATCTGCGTTCTTAAAAAAGTTTCACAAATAGGGACATAATATGGAACAATAGGTACAACGGTTATCTTTTTATAAAAATAAAGTATTTTAACAAATAAGAGCAATACTCAACAATTGAAATAATAATGGTAAATTTTTAGGGCTTCAGCTAATACAAAAATTTCTGTTGTTAAGGCTCACAGTTAAGAAAAAAAAATCAAAGAAGCAAGTTTGAGAATGTATCTG